GATTGTGCCACTCACGGGCAAGATATCGTCCTTGCACGCACTAGCTCACGAAAGGGAAATCACCCAGGGCGAACATCGCCATCACAGGCACGCAACCGCGGGCACAATTGAAGGCTCACCTCACGCAAATCATCTTGATCCTCCTCGACACAAGGACTGACTCTTAGTCATTACTCCTTCGTCTAGGAGCAACGACTTGGGGGCTCCTATTCTAAATTGGGCCCAAGACTGGCCCAGCGTCGGGCAGGGCCCAACTTACCCCTATATCAAGAATGGCCCAATCTGGAGACATACGTGCCTCTCACCCGATGACACGTCATCAATGTGTTCCGCACACTTCAGAGTCGTTACGCCCTTCGTAACAGGCGCGGTCAGCCCACTATCCACGAAGTTCGGGACAGCTGACCCAGGATGATGAGCACATATTGCTCATCCTCACTCACATGAGAATCCTGTCAGCCATCCTTGTGGGTCTGGATATTCAGTCCACAATAGAGGCCATTGGTTCAGCGCTTGGGGCTCTATAAATACTCTCTCATACGGGAGAGTCAGGTAAATTGTTCATAACTCTTACACTCATTTATCTCACTTTTTTTTACTTTAACATCAGACTGTATTGCAGGTAATCCCACTCCCTCTGAGAAGTATTTAGACCAACGTATAATTGAATCGCCACACATCTCTTTCTGATCCCTATAATATTAGATAGTAACAAAAACAAAAAAAAACTTTTTCAGAAAAACCTTTTACTTTATTTTTACAAAGTTTTGTAACCAATATTTTATATAGAAATTTTAGAAATGTTTCTTCCTTTCTTAGTAAACAAGTTTAACCGTTTTCCTTTTGTTGAAGCAAAGACAAGACCTAAAGTGACAAGAAGTATCGTTCCCTCTAGCTCTGTTAAAGCATAGCACTTTATGATAGTTAGAAGCAACTAGCTAATTAGTGCTTCTTTTAATGTTCATACGAACTTATATTTGACTATATGCTCAATAAACTCAAGCGATGCAAACATAGTTGAAAATTGTAAGTAAATCCAAGATCCAAATATCACGTTAGTACGTAGTTATAGTTTTTATGTATACATAGCAATGTTGCACAATTTGGCTCTAAGTGCCTAGCGTTCAAGTTACAAATAAACACAAATATAAGAATAGGTCACAAAAAACATAAAGCACTCAAATGCAAGACTTCCTACTAATTTTGGAGTCATCAAAACGTAAAAAGATTACACACCTTAATATACTTTATTACACACAGACCAATATAACTATATCTTCATGTATCCACATCACAAACTGGAGCACCAATCAAAGGAATCTGACCCACAAGACCTTTCTTCAAACCCAACAACAAATCACACTTAGCATACAAATTATAATGAGCAGACTTTATCTCACCACTTTTCCATCTCAACCTACCTTGCAACACAAGTTTAACACCCACCACACCATAACCCTCATCCACAACCAAACCATTCATCACATCCGCCGAAACCGGAACCGGGACGCTTCCTAACACCGGTGACACTGACACGGTTCCGTGCTTCTCTAAGTAAAGCGGCTGAAGAATAACATGAGGCGTGATTGGTTGGTTTCTATAGGAGACGTAGGTGGAAAGCCTGTCGAAGTAAATGGAGACGCGTTTGTTTGGATTTCTTATGAAGATTGTGAATTGCATTGAGATTGACATGAATGGTGGTGAAGTTGCATTGAGGCTATAGATTGAAGCACTGGTGACTGTGATGTGAGGTTTTGAGGGATGGTAAGCTAGCCATAAGATGAGGAGTATGATGCCGAGTAAAAGGAAGAAGATTGTGATGCATATGCAGTGTTCACGTTTTGGAGCATTTGGTATTCTGTAACGAGAATCCATGTTACCTTTGTGTTCCATTGGATAGTGATAACCTTGTTGTTGTTGTTGATGATGCTGTTGTGGCATTTTGTTAGGAAAATTACGTTGTGAAGGGTGTTTTTGAGTTGGATCTTGTTGACGTTGTGAATGGTGTTCTTGAAACGGATCTTGTTGGCGTTGTGAATGGCGTTCTTGAAATGGATCTTGTTGGCGTTGTGAATGGCGTTCTTGAAATGGATCTTCTTGGCGATGTATTTGCATTATTTCTGCCATTGTTTGTAAAAGAGTGTGTGTGAGTGTGTGAGTTTATTTGTTTGTGAGTTTTATGAGCAAGTGAAGAAGTGAAAAGAAATGTATATGAATAGCTAGGGAGAATTTGAATTAGGTTACTTGGAATCCAAGTATAGTACCTTTTTTTTTATTTGGATCAATGGTTGAGTATTGATCTGATGAGTTCAAGTATATTATGCTATGTGTGTTGATTCACCCAAAAAAAAATGCTATGTGTTACTTTCTGTTTTGTGCCTTGCTTTTTCTTTATCCAAGCTTTTTCTTTCTCACTAACTTGAGGGGGAAATATAATAATAATAGTGTAGATTAATAATGAAATACCAGTTAGGATAGTATTGAACCGTGACAAGAATCAATAAGATATCTTAAATCCAGAAAAATGATAAGTCACATGTTTAAATTCACGTCTCAATATATCAAATATTTTTACAATTATTTAAAAAATTGTATTAAAAGTGCGTCTCAACACATCCAATGTCTTTGCAACTACTAGTAAAATTGTACTTACTTTATTGTTATTTGTAAAAAGAAATTCAATACATTTCATTAGCAATAAATAAAGTAATAAAACGTTAAACATGATAATAAAATTCGGGATTAGGCCGATTAGTTGTAAATGTGGTGGATCTCACCAAATGATGAGCAATTTGATTTGTTTGCCGCATTCTAAACCATTTATGCTGATCTAAAATACATATGCACTGACTGAAAGTAGCTCCTAATTATGAGACATTTGAATGTTTACAATGGAGAAGATCCACGAAAACATGCAATCCATTCCATGGTTACTTGAGGTAGATCTAGAGACTCAAGCCAGTGTGAAAATCAATGCTTCCCCCAACAGCAATAGAAACGCAGTATGGAACTCCCCACCCTCATTCCTAACGTCCGTCGGAAAAATCAACGCCCATGTTTTAAAAACTCCATATTGAAGTGGGTGTCAATGATTAAGGGTGGCCAGATGGATCGAGTCTCCATTGCCAACTTATTTATTATATTATTATAGGATTAATTGAGAATTTGGATCTTTAATTTCAAGTTGATCAATATGCTTGGTGAGCGTTTGGAATTGAGTTTGGAAGGTTGGGAATTAGAGCGAGATCCCGACAACCATAGTTCGTACTATGTAAGTACCACAAATGCTTCAGATAATAAGACTAATATCACTAGTCAATTTTATGCAAATAGGCCAGGTACAAAATCTAAGCTACCAAAACAAAGCCTTTAGGTCTAAAAAAAAACCTCCAAAACTATATACTTGTTGGGTTGGTAATTATTGAGTGAACTGCTTTCAAAGGACCTCACAAGTCTGATGAAAATGTCAAACATCATATTACCTGTTATTCCTAAATAAATATTTAACTCAATCCATTTTCCCTTTAAAGTAAAATGTTTAAAGGGTCCCAAGTACACCACTTGACAACTATTCTGAAAACAGATAGACAAAAAAGTTGTCTACATTTTAACTTTTCACAAACAAAAATTGCCAAAAACGTAGGGAAAAAAGGCAGAATGAACCCAAAAAGAGACGATACCATGTGTGATGGACCCAAGAAAACAACTGAGCAAGATTATATGGCTGGATTTGAGTCTTTCACAGTTTCACTGATGTATGGATAGCATGTCCTATTGTCAACTCTACATGTTTATTACTGTTACTAGCATAGACATTGCCTTGTCGTGTCCCAACCTCCCAAAACATTTTTGTCCCGCGATTCAATTATTGATTACTCATGTTATAGCTCTGAAAAGTTTCTGCACTGATTGTTTGAAAGATCACTTTCGACATTAAGTGATTCAAAAATAAGTTGATTAGAAATTAAAAGCTTAGAAAATAATGTCATCAAGTTCATCAGTTACTTTAGAACAAAAGAGATATCAGATTGAAAGAAAGATGAATTGAAAATCAGTAGTACTGTAACTACAAGGAGATTTCAAAATCAAATGTTTCAAACAACATCAATAAATTTACATTATAGAATAGATATTTACCCTAGTAGAAAATTTCATGTTAAATTTCACATAATCTTATTCATAAACCGTGTAAAACTTGTCTCATAAATACATATCAGATGGTACCATAAAACAAAGAGTACAAATCAAATGATATAAAGAACTACAGGATCATTTGATACGCCAAGATGTGAGCTCAAATCTGCAATTTTCCACTTCTCAATACTTAATACCTAAGTTTCGCCGGTGGGTTCTTCAGAACCAAAAAATAAAATAAAGAAACAAAAATTGTGTAAAAATTACTTTCCCTTAAGATCATCTCAAACATTGTTAGGAATCCGGGGAACAACAGTGGATTTGATTAATAAGGTGCTTAATGTGTGAGACTTGTCACCGGACTCTTCAGAAACAAACGGAAACTAAAATTGTATAAAAAGTATTCACTTGATAAGGTGGTCTCAAAGTTTAATAGGAGATGATGCATTTGTGTATTGAATTGAGTTTAAACATTGTTCAAGATTGCGAAACTAGAGGTGCTTAACTAGATATTTTCAAACTGAACTACAGCCTATATAAATACTTGACCATAACAAGGTTCAACCATGAAAATATATTAACAGCTGATATCAAACTTCAGAGCAGTTCCACTAAATATTTACAATTCAGAAGTTAAATGCATCAATCAGAAGAAAAAGGAAGAAAAAAAATAGAAGAAAACCCTAGGAATGTTTAACATAACCCTTTAGCTACCTCGCTGCTGCTTTTAGGACAGCCTAATGCTTCAAGAAAAAAACAGATTATTCAACTGTGCACACTCCACCCCTCATCTAATCCTAGTGAGCAAAACTCAGTGATAAAATCAACGGTAAATGAATACCACGGTAAGCTAAAAAGAGCAAGTTTCATTGATCACCATTAGCATCTGCATTTGGATTATCATGATCGTGTTCTCTACGTACGAACTGCCCTTTCACCCGAAGGCGCTGCTCTGCGACTCTTTTCCGGCTCTGATACCGAACCTGTGCAACAAATCACAGCGTTAAGATATGTGGTTTAACATGCTATAAGTTTCCTAAGTAAATAAATCATAGATTACACATACAATTAGTTTCTAAAGAATCTACATTAGTCATAGTACCTTTTTCGTGTAGCATCTCTCTTTTCGCTTTAAACGAAACCTAATTAGAGCTGCTTCTCTTCGACTGGAGCGATGAGAATCACTCAATCTAAATTCATCATCATCATAATCATAATCATAACAATCATTTCTGTAGCGCCTACAATCACTAGAACTTCTTGAATTCTTTGTAACCACATTTGAAGTAGCTCTTTCATCATTGTCACTATTAATATAATTTGAAGCTCGGCAAATGTCATTGCCGAATCCCGAACCAACACTAGGAGAATCATGCACTACATGATCCAAATCATATTTTTCAGAAACATTTTGATTAAGAAAATTGTAGTTAGCATCATAAGACCAATTATGATGATGGTCTGAATTGTGACTTTCAGAATTGGACTGGGAAGAGGAACTTGAGGGAAAGGGAGAGCTCTCTTTTTGGCAATTTGATTTAGGAATCAACATGTGATGGAGAACATTATCAGCTAAGAGTTCAGTGTTAAATAATTTCGGTCCAAATTGTCCGTAATGAGCCGTGACTGCATTAGTCATATCTTCTATTTTAATCGGGCCACCATATTGAATGCAATTATCAGCAGTAACTACTGATAATTCATGAGGTTTATTAGAGCTCCAATTGGAGTTTTGAAAAAGTGGCCACAACATCTTACTACCATCAAACCTGCATGCAGAAATTTCATTGGTCATTATTAGAACAATACTATAGCCGTGAAGAATAAAGCAATGTGAAAAATACTTTTAATGAAAGTGAAAAGAAAACCGTGGCCTCACTGGGAAAAGGCAGAAGTATTTGAGTGGTTCAATCTTTGCCATTCCTCAGTTGCTTCACTTGCTTGTTTGCATGAGCTGCCGGAAAAATCACTTCTTAAAGACAGCTCCAAATCTTTTCCAAAATCATACTTTGGTTCTTTATCACCATTAACGCAATGGATTTCCTTAGTGCACTTTCGGAGATTCCCAACTGTGGAAATTAAGTCAATAGCTTTGCTAGAAGGTTCCATCCCTTCATCACTGCATCCACGTATCTCAGTATCAGTATCGTGGTTCTCTCTGCTTAACTCAGCTCTATATATTTCAATTTTGGGTTCAACTTCAGAAGTACTGTAGTCTTGTTCTAGCCTTGAGTCTGTCAAGTTAAAAGTTTTGTTACACCATGCAATGCAATTGATTCCTCTGAAGGAAATATTTTTAGGCAATGAAACAATTTTAATTGTAAAAAGTGATTAATTAATTTTAACAATAATTTTAACAGAGAAGAAAATGAGAGGAATTTAAATACCTCTTGCTTCATCATTAAGCTTAGTTGATTCCCTTTCAAGTTTTGTTAATTGAGCCTCACTCAATTTTTCACTGCATTCATTATTTTTCTGTGAGGAAGCCACAGAAACAGAATCAGTGGATTGATTGTCAGTAAAATTGTCTTCGATGGCAACTTTACGTTTTTCTTGTGCAGATGTATTTTGGAGAGGCCTGTTAAGCTGTATAAATAACATACGACAGAGATTAAAACAAGCACAGGTACATATATGCTAAATTTCTAGGCCACGGCGATAGAAGGATATACATAAAAGTAAAAAGATTCGGAAGTAAGACATACAACATGCTTTCTCCAAACATGCTGCCATAAGTTCGTAAGCTCATTCCTCCGAACAGGTTTGATTAGAAAATCAGCTGCACCTTTACACATACAATTCATTACCATGCTACGTGAATCGTGAGAAGACATCACTGCATGGTCATGAGAAAAACTGTGAGAATATTAGAGTATCTTAGATTTTCTCATATAAATATGAAAATTTGATTCCCGATTAAGTAGTTATAATTTCTTCTTTAAAAACCTATTAAAAATTTCTTGGAAATGCATTTTCTCACCTTCTCACATGCGAATAAATTCATGGGAATCATGGAAGTTATCGCATTTTTGGAATCTTTATACCCAAAAAAAAATTTCTTAACCTTGTAATAAATACGGGTATAGTCATTCCCTACCAATGTATTCCTGAAAATGTGATTTTTAGCCTTGAAACAAACACCCCTAATGAATTTTTTCATTTCTCATTTGCTTCTGTCTTTAGAAGTTTAGCCTCATGATTTTAGCTTTTGCTATTGATATTTAAGTTTTGTTAGCTTATGCCTTATGTGGAGGTTAAGATAGTTGTTTCAACATAATGATTGAACTTTTGTCTATTTTGACATTAGTTTGTTATCATAATAGAGGCTTTGATTCTTTTGCATCGAGTGTCATGATACACTAGAAGAAGATTAAAAATTGAGGATTTCTATGACGCATGAAGCATGAACCTCTGATTGTTGTCTCGATTGTTACATGTTCCCTTTTAAAGGTTACATTTGTAACAAGTTTAAAATTTCATAAACTTTAACTTGTGCGGAAATGGTAGAATATTTGCAAAAATCTTAAAATATTTTTATATTATATTAGAATATCTTAGGGTGTGTTTGGGATATTTTGGAGAGGAGCGTTTAGGAGGACTATATATATAAGATTATTGTTGGGCTTCAAGTGTAAAAGTGTTAAAGTCCTACATCGATCAAGAAAGGAGGAAATGTTGGATTTATAAAAGAGGTGACCCATACTCTCATTGTCTTAGAGTCTGTTTGCGAGTTTGGAGGGGAAGAAAGAGGAGGACTTTAAAAAAAAACAAAGGATTGAATGGAAAGAATAGAAAGATTTTGGTAGGGAGAGTTTGCTTTTATTCATAACACCAATTTAATCTGGTTCGGTGGTGGTTGTCCTCCGTACTAAATACAGTCAATCACCACTCGATCTACTAACGATTTGATAACTAAGAACAAAACAATAACAAGTAGCAAGTGAACATACTTATAAGAGGAATATTTTTGCAAGTTTCATGCTCCATCATCAAAGAAAGAAGTGCTAATCCAGATATTTCCGGCAACTCCATTTCTGTTAATACAATATCAATCTCAATTTGCTTGATTTGCAAAATCTTCCATGCCTTCGTTCCATCAGAAACCGCAATAACTGCAAACAAAATATCACAATTAAGATCTAAGAAATAAGGCATAAAATTGCATAAAAAAACAGTAACTAATCAGAGATAAACGAACCTTTGTAATTGCAATTCATGAGAAGTGAAGTAATTAACCGACGAGTAGAACGATCGGATTCAACAAGAAGAACAGTAACGGTTATCTTTGGTAGAAACAATTCCCATCTAAAAACCTCTTTAGAGTGATCATGATCGTCGTTCTTCTTCTTCTCCGTTTCATTCATATTGCTGTTTAATTCAACTCCTTCATCCATTCTCGATCAAGCTACATTTCACACACAAAAATCAAACTGCAAAATCATACGAAAATAAAAGTAGAACCCTAATTTGAAAGAGAGTAAACTAAAATTGAAATTCACCTTATAGAGAAGGTGAATTTTAGTTGAATTGAAGAGGTAAAGGATTTTCAAAAGCAAGAAAAATGCTGAAAATATCTTCCGTACAATTCTGGAGACGGGAAGGATCGAATCAAAAGGGGGTTTGTTACTGGAGGGTGAAGTGGCAAAATTTGGGCTGTTGGATATTTTGGTAGGGTCTGAGATTACCTGTTGGGGCCCACTGATGAGACACGTGTAGCTTTGCGTTTTATCTTTGAGGCTGATATTTTTTCGGATGGGATGTCGTCACCAAATCCAAATCAAAATTTGATTTTCCCTTGCTTTTATCTCGTGGTGGGGAGACTCACACGTGGAGTGCTTGAGATTTAACTCTATTTTTTTTAAAGACAAAAATATTATTAAACTTCTTAGCATAAGGATCAAGATGGGAAACCACATTATAGAGATACCATATCATATATAGACTTTTTATCAGATACACACGTAAAACTAAGCAAATCAAAAATCTCAGAATCTTTAAGCCTACTAAAACCTCCACCAGTAAATCCCAAAACCACTTCTACAATAGAAGATCAATACATTTACAGTCATAGTACTGACAGTTATAATTTCGAGATCCAACACCACCAGCTTGACTCCAAACCAGATCACTGATAATTCGCATTACCAAAACAGGATGAAAGCAGAAATAGCAGCTGAACCTACCACCCATACTGAAAATTCAATCACGCCGAAACCACCACGTAAAGATGATTGGGCCAGCAATTCTACTCGACGACCATAGCCACTGCTCCGTAATTAGCACTCTGATAGAGGCCTTCTAGCTAAACCACCGGATTATGAGCTCAAGCTTGACCGAGAGTCGCCATTTGCGCTGCTACAGAGCCATTGGTGAATATGCACCAGACCGGTAGAACACCGCAGAAAAGGACAAACCACAACAGAAAAAATCCACTGGCATAAGACGCCACTAAGACACAAAAGAATCACGCAGAGCAAAATTCGCACGCAGGAGCACCAACAACGGCTATTGAAAACTAAATCACACCCTAAAAATGATTGCACCAAGACAACATACTATACCAAAGAGGACTTAATCGCCGAAGGGAAATGACAGCGCTGCCAGGATAAAGATTACACGCTGCAAAACCTAGGCAACATCCAAAATTTGCACAGCTCTGAGAGTAAACTAACAGGGCCCAATTTGCACTGAGAAACTACTGCCACAGAGATGCGCTTGGTTAAAAGAAGCTCAACACCTATCCAAGGATAAGTCTTGGGTTCAAGAACCATTGAGGCAAGTTGCAAGTTAATGATTTATGTTTATTACTCAACCAATTCCAGGAGAGTCTCTGAACATCCTCAAATAATTGCTCAACCGGTGTAGATTTGTTCTTGAATATGATGTTATTTCTAGCTTTCCAGATGCTCCAGATGCACGCAAACCAAATAACTCTTGCAATTTTTAATGATCTTCTACTTCCCTCGAGGAGGGCTCCGAATTGTTCAAAGTGATCCCAGCATTCTTTTGGAAGCACCGCGAGCAAACTAAACCATCTGATAACATACTTCCATAAACCTTCAAAATAAGGACACTCAAAGAAAAGATGAGAAGTTGTTTCTTCCTTCCCGCACCCTCCTGAACACTGAGAAATATCCTGAGCTATGACGCATCTTCTAATTAAATTGTCCCTGGTTGGAAGCCTATTGTGAAATAGCCTCCACACTAGGCATGATACTTTTGTAGGAATCGATTTATGTCAAACCACAGACCAAGATCTGCTAGTCTCAATCCTGTCAACCGCCTGCAACGATTTATATATCTCCTTCACTGAATAAACGTTTGATTGGGCTCGGTCTCCTATGTCTAAGTGACAAATATCTCTCCACCACAACGAGCTATAAGCGTCACTAGTCCTAATGACTCCGTCATCTCCACCGTATCTCTCACTCAAGATTTTATACCATACCCCTGATCTCTCCTTTCTGATTTTCCACACCCACTGAAGAATTAAATAAGCCAAAAGTAATTACTTTTGCTTATAGTTGTATGTTAAATGAAGATCATATGAAGAACGTTCTTTAGTTTTGGCAAGATATTTGATGCTATAAACGAACAAGGTTATTATAATTCACAAACTCAACAATTACTTAATTCCACAAGATCAAGGTTCAACTCATGCAAGATTCACATAACTCAAACTTAATTCAACAATTAAATTGCACAAAGCAATTAAATCAAATAAGGAATCAAGAAATTATCAAATACGATGTGAAGAGGATGAAGATCCTATTGGAAGAGGAAGAATCTGGCAGAGGGAAGCTAGGCGCAGCGGAGAGAGACTAGGTACAACATTACCAGCCGGAAGGAGTAGATCACTTCATGTTCTTAAGTTTTCCTTTGAAGTCTTGAGAGAATTTGAGAGAGAATAGAGAACTCTTCATGTGATTTTTCAATAATGAGTGAAAAAGTTGTGTTGAATTTGAATTTCAAAATAATATAGAAAAGGCTCCAAGGCTTGTTTGGCAAGTGTAATTTTGATTAAATGCAGAATTTTCGATTTATTCTATTGCACGACTTGAGAACAAACTAAAACTCATGACATTTGGTGCATAATCCTGACGCGTAACCTAAAACAAAAACATCGATGATGAAATTTATGACGCAGTGCCGAAAGAATCTCTCATATACGATAAAAACTGAGTGAGTTATGATTCTTCGAATGACAAGAAACGATTGACAGATAACTCTTTGTTCATATTTTTTAACTTATTTCGGTGTATGGCTTTGGTAACAAGCCATAAACCGAAGACTTCTGAGCATAATCCGAACTCGGGCCCTGAAGCAAACTTGTAACTAACACAATTTGTGACATTGTGCCAAAAGAATCATCTCGATACGATGAAAATTGAGAAAGTTGTGATTTTTGTAATATTGTGCAATAGTTAACCAGAAATCAATTTCAGCATGTGATTTTCACCGTATTTTTGTGATTTCGGAGATCTTCTTCAAAGAATTAACTTCTGACCCGAACATACGAATTGCGGACAACATCAAGACGGATTTTATGCCCAAAGAAACATTCAAAAACATCAAATCGAGCGAAAAATATAAATTTTTAAACATCTAATAAACAGCGGATCAATACACAGTTTCACCGCACCATTTTCAAGTAATTTGTATTTTTAGAAGTCTTCCTCATCGAATCAGCTTCCAGCACAAACATATGAACTGAAGAAAATATCAATCTGATTCAACTGCTCCAAGAACCAATGAAAGATTATTTTCTGATCAGAAGTTGCGAATTTGAATATCCGAACAAACAATTGACCAACAAATCCATTATATATCATGATTTCAGGTATTTGCACTTTTGAAGATCTTCCTTACAAAATTAGCCTTCGACCTGAACAAATGAAACAGAGAAGATAACAAGACGGTTCTAATGCCTGAATAATCATTCCCAAACCTTTTTCCGATCAGAAGTTACAGATTTTAATCTCGAGCCGCAAAATATTGAATTTTTTTTTGAACTGTCTCAAATCAACTAGAACACTTAACTTTCTCTATAATTCAAAGTGTGATGGAACACACGAGAGTTTGGCATGATAATGACTTGATTAATATATGATTGAGTAGCTCGGAAAAATGTGTGGAGTGTACTTGAATCTTGAAAACTCTGAGTTTCTGCTTTACTGTACTGCCTAACGAAACAATTGTCTTTTGTAGCTTGACACAAATAAATACTTTGATCCCGCAATCATGAAATCGATGATATATATGTATGAGTATATTAGAGAAAAATAAGCCAATTAGAGTTAGACCGAAGAGGACGAATTTTATGGTGCAACAAAGCCATGCACCCAAACACCCGAAGATGGTTGTAGGAAACATCTTTACCACTCCAAACATGATTTGAAACATCAAACTTTAACGGAACACATGGAGTAGAGTTTAAAATATGTACAAGCATGCTCAATGCTTCTCTCCAAAAGTATATCGGTAACTTTGATTGAGAAAGTAAACATCTCACCCTTTCCACCAAAGTTATATTTATTCTTTCAGCTAATCCATTTAATTGTGGTATCGTTGGAGGAGACTTTTGATGACGTATACCTTGATCTTGACAATACTTGTCGAAAGGTCCAACATACTTTCCCCCGTTATCAGTTTGGATACACTTGAGTTTTTTCCCCGTTTCTCTTTCAACCAATTCTTGAAATGACTTGAAGGTATCTAACACTTGATCTTTCGTCTTCAAGGTATAAGCCCACGTTTTTCGAGAACAATCATTAATGAAAGTCACAAATTAATATGCACCACCAAGTGACTATGTCTTCTCAGACCATACACATCAGAATATAGTAAATCCAGCACTTTTGATTTCCTCTTTGGTTCGGATAACATAAAGGAAACTCGTCTTTACTTACCCGCCAAATAATACGAACACTTTCTCAACTTTGAATCGGAGACACCATACAACACATTATTTTTTGCTAAAATGCTCAAATCTTTTTCACTCATATGACTCAAACGCTTGTGCCATAATTAAGATGATCTATCATTGTCACAAGTGTTAATGTAGCACTTCGAAACCCCAAGTTGGACGGCATACAAGTTCGAATTTGTTTTTCCTTTAGCAACCACCATTGAGCCTTTCTTTAACTTTCATTCATTTCCCGAAAAAGAATTATCATATCTTTCATTATCCAACTTTCCAACAAATAAAATATTGAATCGAAGTTCTGGAATGTGTTTCACACTTTTGAGAATTAGAGTTGTACCACGCTAGTTTTGACACAAATATCTCCCATTTCGATGACATTAGCTTGTCCATTATTTCCCATATGAACAACCCCAAAGTCATTGGTCTCGTAAGTAGAAAAAAGATCATGTCTCGAGGTTGCATGAGTAGAAGCACCACTATCAACCACCCAATCCATCTCATCACATGATAGATTGACATTCTCAATACAACTATCACAAACAATAAAAAAATCATCAACAGTAGCAATACCTTCATTATTGTTACCTGCCTTTTGTCGTTGTTGTAGCTCTTCTTCTTATTTTTCCTTTTCAACTTACGAAAATACCTCTTTATGTGTCCCTTTTTTCCACAATGATGACACTCGATATGAGAGAATCTATTAGAGCCTCCTTGTGATTTACCACGTGAAATTTCACGATTACTTGAATCTCTACTTTGATGTCTCCCCCTTGATTCAGTAATCAACAATTTAGAATGTGAAGAAGAACCTTGTGACTTACGCCTCAACTCCTCATTCAACACACTATTTTTAGCCAAGTCCATTAAGATGATACCATTCGGAGTGGAGTTAGACAAGAATGTCTTAAAAGTCTCCCAATTATTAGGTAAAGTATCAAGAAACCACAAACCTTGAATTTCATCATCAAAAGTAAGATTCATCTCTGACAATTGATTTAGAATCTCTTGAAAAGTGTTCAAGTGATCAGTCATTGGTGAACCATCATTATACTTCAATGACATCAATTGCTTGAACAAGAACAACTTATTGTTCCTCGTCTTTCTTGCATACAACTCCTCAAGTTTGGTCCAAAGAGAGTGAGCATGAGTCACCGAGCTCACATGATTCAAAATATTATCATCCACCCATTGAGGAATATAACCACAAATTTGTCTATGCATTAAAGTTCATTCTTCATCACTCTTTCCATCGGGTTTTTCATTAGAGAAAACCAACAAGTGAAAACCTTTCACGTAAAATAAATTTTCCATTTTTCCTTTCCAAACATTATAATTGAAACCACTCAAACTCACCATCCTAGATGTGTTCGTCTCCATCGTTACACATATCAAACCACAACTCTAGATACCACTTGTTGGGAGGAAATCACAAACGCAACGGAATAATCCAACAACACAAACTCTCCTAAATATCATATGCAACGACAATCAACAAAAACACATTAAACAACACAACACAATTTTAGCGTGGAAAAACATTTGTTAACTAAGAGTAAAAAATCATGGGACTCGTAGGCCACTTAAAATCTCCACTATAATCAACAATAGATACAATCAAGGTTCTCTTTAACACTAGTTAGAGGCATATATAAACATCATCTAGATTTGGAATCAATCTTGGAATACAAAAATCAAAGAGACGAAACAATTCAAAAACACCAAAAAATTCAGACTTCAAAGATGGACTCTACAGACCGACTTAGAAAGCTCTGAATCCAATGAAAATCATTCAAAATATGCTCCAATGAGTCATGAACGTTGTGTCAAAATTTCATAGTGATCTGACCGTTGAATTTTGCGCAAGCTCTGATTTTATGGGACTAATTTGTGCAAAATTGGGGCTGTAGAAATAGAGTTTTCTCTCTAGCTTTTCTTGTTGTTTTTCTTACACAATGAATGAATAATCTAATATTCTTTATTGGATAATAACAAAGACATAGACACACATGGCCACTAACCCACGTCTATTTGGACCTCTCCAAATAGGAGGGATTGGCCAACAGGCCAACAGAGACACCATTGTATAATTTCATGTACATGACTGAATGTGTATCTGTCGTCATATTATATCGTTAAGGAAGTGATTTATATATAATAAGGTAACGCAACAAGTTTATATAGATCAAACTTTGAATATTATAATTCTTAACACTAATTCCACAAATAATAACAAATATAAGACAGGAAAACAAAGTTTCCAACCTAAAAAACAAATCCTGTTTATATTAGAAAAGATAGATAATGCATTCTATGAGTAATATTTTATGATTAGTAACCATATTAATAAGAACATTGATACAAAAATGAAATCACACAAGAAAAGAAGATTAGACATGAGCAGTGCCTTCTGTAAACTTTGGATCTTCACATCTATACCTGCCATCCGGTCCAATTCCAAAACCTTTCGGATCGGCAAACACATTCTCTAGAAGCTGGCTGCGCTGTGGCTGAGGGCTCTTTTCGGCAAACTCAACGGCCTCTTCAAGGATCTCGTCGATTTTCTTGTCTATTGTTTTCAATTCTTGTTCAGTGGCTAGTTGGTTCTCAAAAAGGTATTTCTTCAATGCAGTGATGGGATCCCTACCAGCATAGTGTTCCTTCTCAGCTGCCAAATAGAAAAATATTACGATCTTACAATCCAACACTCGATCTTGACTACACTGGTCAAGATATATACATACTTCACAAATTAAGAATGTAAACGAAATAAGTTTATATCGAAACAAATGCTCACCAGGGTTACGAAGCTCATCAGGATCAGCCAATGAATGTCCTCTAAATCTATAAGTCTCGCATTCAACAAGAGTCGGTCCCTCTCCTCTTCTAGCTCTATCAATTGCCTCCTTCGCCACCTCTCTGACCTTCAAAACATCCATCCCGTCGACATGAACTCCCGGCATTCCGAAAGCTGGACCTTTTTTCCATATTTGAGGATCCGAAGTTGCCCTGAGATGCGACATCCCAATGGCCCACAAATTATTTTCCACTACAAACACTATCGGCAATTTCCACAAAGCAGCCATATTCAAACACTCGAAGAACTGTCCGTTATTACAAGTCCCATCTCCGAAAAACGCCAATGTCACGTTATCAGAATCCGCCTGATTCAACACCTCTCTTTTGTACTTCATGGAAAACGCTGCACCGGTGGCCACTGGAATTCCTTCACCGATGAATGCAAAACCGCCAAGCACATTGTGTTCTTTTGAGAACATATGCATCGAACCACCTTGACCTCGGCAGCATCCTGTTGCCTTCCCAAAGAGTTCACTCATCACAGCTCGAGAAGGGACCCCTTTACTCAACGCATGAACATGGTCTCTGTATGTGCTCACGATGCAATCTTCTTTCCTCAAATACTTGATGAATCCAGTTGACACAGCTTCTTGGCCGTTGTACAAGTGAACGAAACCGAACATTTTGCCTCTATAATACATCTCAGCACACTTGTCTTCAAAGGACCTCCCTAATACCATGTCTTCATAAAGCACTAGCCCTTCCTCTTTAGTAATAAGCTACACACACAAATACAGATTAAAAAAACAGCTTATGAAAGAAAAACTCTTTCAAACCTCTTTGGTTTAAGGATAAAAAGCATGGTTTCAATTTTAGCTTAAAAAAAGCCTCCTAGTAGTTTTCAGTTTTCCCAACCTTGAAAATCAGTAACAAAGTGAAAATTTAGTAAATAAAGCAGGTATGATTAATAAAAGTAAATGGTTATATACATTGCCTTTATAAACTTGGTTTTGGTTAAAAGTGATTTGAATTTAAAGTGATTTACGTTTGAAGACATTCACGAAAAACTGAGTTCGGCAATAAATTTGGGTAAAAATACTCAATTCGGAATGCAAAAGCCAAAAATTCCAGTTTCATAATAAAATCAGTTCACCTCGATAATACTCAAATATGTCAAAATCAATTATGTGTATAATTGACTTCCCGTTTGGAGCACTTAGAATTGATTTAGAATGTGCAGAATTGATTTTGATATGTTTGACAGCTCTCAAGTAGAATTGATTATGTTTTTTGAATTGACTCTACTTGATTTGTAGCTTTTGAATTGAGATAAATCACTTTCTCTTTGATTCACTTTAATCCACAATCAATTCCCTCAAAATCAATTTTTTTTCACCGCAGATCCAAACACACACCTATATGATTCTAGAATCAATTTTGACTCCTCAAAAATCCAAAAGTGAAATCAACAATGCACTAAAAATGGAAACAAAACAAGACCTTAGAAAGCAAAACCAAACCAACTTCAATAGTCTAAATTTCAGAAACCAATTGGACATATAACACAAAAAACAAAAACCCATAAATCACAAATCATATATCACTACAGTTAGAACCAACAAAACCTCCCAAAAACAATAAACAACATAGCCCAACAACAAAAACATTCAAAATACAAATCACGTAGCTCATAAACCCAACCCAACATGGTCCAATTCATCTTTCAGAACATAACAGAATCAAAAGTTAAGTTTTTTACACAACCCCATAAATCAGATAATCAACAGCTATCAACAGAAAGCATAAATTTTTCACATGAAAAACTACAAAGAACGACAAAGGGTTACCAAATTGGAGGTCTGTTGAAGAAGAACAGCAACAGGCGATGATAAACGGCGATGAAGAAACGGCTTAGTAAGAGAACTGAAACGAAGAAACTTTGTGGATCCAAGGAAAGATGAAGAAGAAGGGTTGTGTTTGAAGAGATCAGAAGAGAAAGAGATTGATTTCTCATTGGATCTTGGAGTTGAGGAGTTCACAGGAACCGCAAGAAGAGAGTGCGAAAACTTGGTTGCAGAGAAAGGCATGTTTTTTTCTTCTCACTTTGCAACCAAAGTGAAAAAACCAGAGATGTTTTTTTTTTAAGGTTGTGGTTATAGGAAAATGAAACAGAAAATGAGGTTGTTTATTTATATGAAAATAGCAGAAATTAAGGTCAAGTGAAAAGTGGCGGAGAAAACTAGAGAGTAGGGCTTGGAGATAATCGACTTGTGTTTTGAGGGGTGTTTTTGTCTATGAGTTTGAGTTCTATGTGCAAATTCATTAGATGCTACCAAAAAACCAACTAACTTTTACTACATTAACATTCATTTAGTATGAGGTTGGTTATGGATTTGAGGAAAAGAAAAATGACTCAAATTGGTTTGAGTTTTATGAAATTGATTTTGATCTTAAGTTAGTTGAACAAAAACTTATTTATGTTTGAATGTGGTGAGATATTCTTAGTTTGTAAGAAAATTTTGTTTATAATTAGTTATTATTTTCAAAGTTCAATACAACAATAATTATTAGTTTCTCATGCTTATTTATTATAAAGAGAAAAATAAATATAATATAATAATTTTAAAATAAATATTAATATTAAAAAAATTATTGATTGTTATGTACCTGTAAAAAAAATGATAACAACAATAATTAAGTTTTATTCTATTAAATGAGATAGTTTACATGAATCAACTTCATTATAATGTTTTATTCAAGATCATGTTTTTATTTAAATAGTCAATTGTTATTTCTTTTTTGTTAATTTCTCTTCTTTTTTTTTAGGCTTTCATGTACCTCTAGTTATTTGACTCGTCTTCATCCCATCTACTATACTTACTATAAAATTTATAGGTCTTCTCTTTACATGTTCAAACCACTTAAATTTATTTTTTCACTATCTTTTCTATTATAAGTGTTACCTCAACATTCTCTATAATATTGTTGTTTTTAATCTTATATTGTCTAGTATTACCATATATCTAACGCAATATCTTCATCTATGCTACAATTACTTTATTTTCGTGTTGATTCTTAATTGTCAAATATTCTGTCATTCACAATATTGCAGATCTTACTGCAGTCCGATAAAAAATTTCATCCATCTTGAGTAGTACATTTGGGTCACATAAAATCCATGAAGCCCTCCTCTATTTCATCCATCTGACTTTGAATTCGATAGTTTACATCTCCTTCTATTTCTCCATCATTTTGTATTAAGGAACCAAGATATCTAAACCGTGTGACTTGTAGGATGATATGGCTCCAACTTTCACCTATAAGTTAGAAACGCTTCTCTTTTTGTTGAACTTATATTCCATATACTTCATCTTATCTCAGCTCAGGCGAAAGTCATGGGTTTTTAAAGGTCATCTCCAAGTCTCTAACTTCTCATGTAAGTCCTCTTTTAACTCTCCAAGTAGAACTATGTCATCAACAAAACGCATGCATCTTGGTGTCAACTCTTGAATGTATTTTGTGAGTACATCTAAAATTAAAGTAAAAAGATATGGGCTTAGAATTGAACCTTGGCGTAAATATATTGTAATGGAGAAATTGTTTGTCTCTTAACCATGTATATGCACACTAGTCGATACCCTTTCATACATATCTGCTTGAATTCATGCAATTCTAACCCCTTTCTTATTTAGGGTGTTGGTGAAGAATATAGGATTGGAATGATTCATAAGGGGGTTGAATGAACCATTCTCCTAAAAACACTTTTCAAAAACCATTTTCTTTGAAAATCAGAGTTTTATAAACATATATGCATTTAGCAGGCACAAGCAATATTTTGTGGAGGTTTTGTAAATCATATGATTAATTGGATAATACAGTATACTTAAATTTTCATTGAAGTTGTTCTGCCTCTTGGGGTTTGTCCTAATTTTTGTTTTGTTGCTTGTCAATTTTTTTTGGGTTTATTTGTTGTCGTAATTGAGTCTCTTCACATAATTATGTATTCTAGAGTTGAATGTTAAATCATTTTACGCATGCATAATCAAAATTAGGGGTGTTCGCGGTGGGATTTGGGCGTGTATGACATAAAAAGTCATCTGAATCGCAAGAGAAAAAAGTGTGCGCTTTTGTTTGATTCGGTTGGCTTTTAGAAATAAAACTGAACCAAACTAAACCAAACCAATACGGTTTGGGTTGATTCAGTTGGTTTGGTTTTTTACAAAAAAAAAATTGTTGAGTCATACATACAGATATAGATGAGAACATAGTTTTGTATTTTTTCATTTGTGTGTTATTAAATAACAATAAAATTCATCATATTTGAACAATAACTTTCAGTTTAATATACAAAAGTAATATTAGAGAAAAGTGGAATAAAAACATAAAATAGTAGTATAAAACAATATCAAAAACATTATAATGAAACAGAAAAAATAGAGGAGATGAAAAATTAGAGAAGATGAAAAATAAAGAACAGAAGAGAGGAGGGATTAGAGAAGAAAAGTGCATTAAAAACGTAATTTGAAGAGATAATTGTTGAATAAGAAAAGATGAAAAATAAAGAACATAAGAGATGAGAGACTAGAGAAGAAGATGCGGGATGTTCATGGGAAAAAATGAGAAGAAGATGTGATACCGCTAGGAAAGATTTGAGAAGATTTAAACCGAAACCTTAAGTGTGAGGAAGAAAAATCATTTGTAACCGTAAGGTTATGGCATAAATAAGTTTAGATTTGGGTTGGATGTGAGTTAAGTGAAGTTTGGATTGTAACATAATATGGTTTGGTTAGGTTTGAAAAATACAAACCACAAACTGAACCGAACTGCGTGGTTTTATTAAAAAAATGGCTCAAAAACATCTGAATCAAATGCAGTTTTTTGCAATTTTGGTTTGGTTTAGTTTGGTTAGCGGTTATCTATTGGGTCGATTCGATTTTGAACATCCCTAATCAAACTATTTTACTAAAGTTAATGCAATATATTTCTAGTCAACTTGTCATAGATTTGGAACAACAAACAAATGAGAATATGGTTCAAATCGTGCTAAGTCTTGATTGAAATCAACACTTTATTTTTGTTGTTTTTTGAAAGTGTGATTTGAATCAGGACATTGGCTTACTCGAATAAAATTTTATGTGAAAAATTAGGATTTTCTTTTGTGGGTCTGATTCGAATCATAGGATAGTCTGACTCGAATCAAATATGGTTCTAAAAATTAAGATTTTACTTCCGTGAGTTTGATACAAGTCACAGTAAAACATGACTCGAATCATAGAGGTTTGATTCCAATCATAAGAAAGCTTGACTAGAATCAAATTCTGGTAGCAAAATTTAGATTTTGGTTTTGTAATCTTGATTTGAATCATAGATCTGGTTGATTAGAATCACATGACTCTAATCATAAAAAGCTTGATTTGAATCATGGGAGCAATTTTTCTTGGTTTTTGGATCCTGATTCAAATTGTTCACTCTCTTGACTTGATTTAATGAAAGAGGATTGTATGTAATTATAAGTTGAGGGAGTGAGTCAAGATAAATTTTGTATGTTTACTCTCTTTTCCTTTACCTCTTTATCATTAAACACTTGCAATTGATTTGAGTTTCATTTGAAACAAACCTTAAAATTTTAAATCTGACAACATAATACAGACTTCTCTTTCTTGTGTTTTTTCATTTTCATGTGTGAAAAAGATTGTTAAGTTGCATGGAATTCCATCACGTATCATTAAAGATAGAGATACAAATTTTATATCTAAATTTTGGCAACATTTTATTAATGAAAAGAGAATAAAATTGAGGCTAAGGTATTCTTATCATCCACGGACGCATGGCCCGTACAACATATTTATATCCAATTTAAGGCTAAGAAATGTTTATCATCCAGAGCAAGGGAAAAGTTGAGAGTAAGTAAATAAGGGCTAAGATATCCTTATGTTATTTTGAAATGTGAGACCAATATATTTAGATCCAAATTTGTGTAACAAACTACAAAATTAATGAAGATAATTTTATATAGGATGAAATTTGCTAAATATAGGCATAAATATTATAGTGATAAAAGAAGACGACCTTTGCAACTTATGATCGGAGATTGTGTGTTTTTGAAAGTAACTTTGAGGACATGTGTTAGCATAGCTATTAAGATAAGGAAGCTTACACTTACACCACTACGCCAAAAAAGACCTACGAAAGCGCTTTTTTTGGCCTTTAAAAGTGCTTAAAAGCGCTTTCTAAGGTGGCGCTGCTATAGATTTTAGCAGCGCTTTTTGTTTAATGAAAAGCGCTTTCGTAGGTCTACTTATGACAGCGCTTTTTCTAAAAAGCGCTCTCTTAAGTACCCTTATGGCAGCGCTTTTTCTATAAAGCGCTCTCTTTAGTACCATTATGGCAGCGCTTTTTCTAAAAAGCGCTCTCTTAAGTAGGCTTTTGGCAGCGCTTTTTCTAAAAAGCGCTCTCTTAAGTAGGCTTTTGGCAGCGCTTTTTTATGAAAAAGCGCTTTCATTGGTGGCGCTTTTTTTGGAAAAAAGCTTTCATAGGTTGTCTTTTAGCAGCGCTTTTTCTTGGAAAAGCGCTGTCATATGTTTACCTTAGACAGCGCTTTATGTGAAAAAGCGCTTTCATAGGGTGTTTTTTTTAGAGGTATTATTTATATAATTCATATACCTGCATTGTGTCATAACCTGTAATTCATAAATAGCGGTAATGCATTGTAATTCCGATACCCCGTTCTCGTACTCTTTCGACAATCGATTGGAATACATCCATGTCTTATCCATGGTTTACGGTTTCTGAGTCAAAACCAATACTCAATATAACAAAACCAATACTCAATACTTTTCACTAAATTCATTTTATTATATCAACTACTTTAGTACACAAGTATAACACAAGAAACCATAAACAAGAAACTATCATTGCTCAAAATCAATCATAAATTATGTTTGTATCTCAAATTATATATAAACCATTGTTATCAGTATTGTAACTCAAAATCAGTCTTACAAAATCAACCCTAACAACAACTAAACCAGTCCTTATATTATTCTCTACTCAATAAAATATTGACACAACTCCTCTTTGGTTTCTT